AAAAAAAAAAAAACAAACAAACATTGGTATAGTGGGATATCCCAATTTATCAGTCTAGGACATAAAATATAATTATAATTTTGATTAACATAGTTTGTAAACTTGTGCCATGTCATAGTTTTGTCATTTTGTCTCTGTTTTTCTTTCGTTTCTTTTTGTTGTTGTGATGGTCCATATGTTTATGTGTAGGGTACAAATGATGAGATTGTGGACTTGTCTCACGGGAAGCGACTATGGGAGCTTGCGAAGGAGAAATACGAGCCGTTGTGGGTCAAAGGTGGCGGCCATTGTAATCTCGAGACATTCCCCGAGTACATCAAGCACTTGCGCAAGTTCGTGAACGCAATGGAAAAGCAGTCATTCTCCAAAAGACCCAAGCCCCGACCCACTCCTGCTCCCAATATTACACAATTCAAACACAACAAATGCTTAAAATTCGGAAAAATATAAATCTTTTTCTTATTATAATGATTTTTTTGTTGGTAGGGAAGTACAGCAAATTACTGCTGATATGCCATTAGCAGCTAAAGGGGTTTTCCTCCATTTGTTTTGTACTTAAGATGTAAAAGTTTAGCTGCAGATTATTCTTGAGAATAGTAGACTGTGGATAAGACACTTTGATTTTTCTGCACACTAATTTGTTTTTCCCCCTCTTATTGATGTTCAATCATTCTATTGTGTATATACAGCCACTTCAAGAAAATTATACCTCATGTTCATTTTTCTCTTTATTTATTTGGTCTATATGTTTACTAGTGATCTGTAGACCAAAACTTATTTGGGGTTTCTGGGTCTGTTTTTCTAAGTTGTTTGTGGGGAAGGCTACGTCCCGTTATGGGATGGTTCCGTTGTGCTTTTTAAGCGTAGATTACCTACACATCACTGATCTACATGTGTATATCCGGCTTAAAAAGACAACAGAACCATGCCTTAACGGGATTGTAGCATTCTCCGTTGTTTGTTTCGGTGGAAAAAAAAAAGATGGGAAAAGTAACTCTATATATTTGTCATTTCTTATATGTTTCTATGTGAGATTGTACGTGTAATCCAGTCGTAAAAAACATAGTGTGTGCAGTGTTCTCATCAATGTGGTCAAATTTATGTGAAAACATAGTGTGTGTGCAGTATTCTCATCAACGTGGTCAAATTTACGTGTTGTTATCTTCAATGGATAGCCATTTACCCTCTATTTCCTAGAAAGATCCTTATGCATTATGGCGGATCATAACCAATAATTTGGATGTGGTCCAAGTACTTCATCTTGTGCAAATGAGTTGAATCTTACTCTATATAATTTTTCTTTAAGCCGGATATACACATGTAAAGATGTGAAGTCACCTACAACTTTTCTAAACCATTTTGTAAAGAAAATATATCTAAAAACATAAAATTTACATTTGTATGAAAGATTTTTTCTGAATATGACATAATAAAATATTATAAGACTAAATAAATACATTTTAAAGAAAATTTACCTAGTATATATAAAATAAATATTGACATGATGCTGAAAATTATGACGGTACTACCGTACCTGAAATTTTGAGTATATAAGATTTCAAAATTATTATTATTATTCTTTTCAATAATTTGAGTAAAAAAAATTTAAAATTATTATTATTATTATTCTTTTAAGTAATTTTAGTACATAAGTTTTAAAATTATTATTATTTTTTAGTAACTGTAAAAATTATTATTATTATTATTATTATTATTATTATTATTATTATTATTATTATTATTATTATTATTTTAAGTAATTTGAGTACAGAAGATTTCAAAATTATTATTATTTTTTAGTTACTGTAAAATAAAAAATTTGTAGTCATAAAATTCCACGTTTTATGTAGATTATCAATTTTACAAATAAAATGGGATTTATTTTATATTGAATGGAGACTAAGACAATTTTGAAAAAAAAAAGTCTGTCTATTTTCCAAATTATCCTCTTGATTTTTAAAACAATGCATTTGTAATTTGACTTAATTATTGTAAAACTTTGAAACTTATGGAAAAAATTAAAGAGATGAATTCCAATTGACTTGAAATTCTTAAACCATTTTGAATTTCGTGTAGATTGAAACCAAAAAAATAGAAATTCATTATGATTTTGTAATTTCCAAGAGGTTTGTTGATTTTAAAGTGGCACAAAATCCTTCATTTAAGTATATGGATAGAAGCATGTGATTAGATATTTTAAAATTCAATTTGAACAAATCTTTTATATTAGGAAGAGATTTTGAATTAAACCCAATTTTATGGCAACTAAAATGAGAAGGGATTTTGAATTTCAAATTTTCAATTCAAGTTCTAAGAAAATACTTTTTTGACAATCTGATTGTTTGGAATAAAAAACACAATCGAAATTTTTTAAGTCGAATTTATAGGTAAGTTGTCAATTTATCTCGTCTATTTAAAAATATATGTGAATAAGAAGTATAATTATCTTATATTGTTTCATTAATTAGATGATTTTGTTTTTATATAAAATATTCAAATAATAAACTTGAAGTGGTTGAGTAATTTATTAAACCATGAATAAATGACAATTTCATTTACGTCGTCAAAGTTAATGTTGACTTGTAAATTATGAATAATTACTTATTTGACTTATGAGTTTGGAACTCAAATTTGGACTACACACTAAATTCCATTATATATTTGATTTATGAATATATTATATATATAATCTCGTAATGTTCTAGAGTTGTTGTCGGTTACCTTATCGTTCAAATTTATCAACTAATTTTCTAGAATTAAATTACAAACTTTTAACTTTATTAACCAATATTTCTTGAAATATTATGGTAGCATATCAATAAAAATTAAAATAAATTAGGTAGAAATAAAATAATTGATTGAAAAATTTTGAAAATTGTAATCAATAGATTTAGATCAATTATTGATTTCACTTACATAAAATAAATCAGTGTGCTAGCTGGAGGTAATAGAAGAGCTAGAAGGAGAGTTTGGGAGCTTAAGGTGATGGAGAAAATAAAACATTTTATATGGCTAGTTGTTTCTAATATCCTCCCTGTGAGTTCAAATCTGCTGAAGAGGGGAGTTGTAGTTGATGACATATGTGGGGTTTGTGGGGAGGAACTAGAGACCCAGGAGCATGTCCTTTTCTCCTGCAGGAAAGCTGATAGGGTGTGGAGGCTTGCTCCAGTCAATTGGAACAGAGTGCAATCAGAGCAATTGTCCTTCAAGCAATGGTGGTGGTGGATGATTACTATGAAGGATGATGATATTTATGAAGACAGAATCAAACTCTGCACTTATATTTTGTGGTGGCTCTGGCGGGCTAGAAATTTGTGGGTCTTTGAGAGGCAGTGGCCACCGGAGGAGTGGATAATCAAGACTGCAGCAAGAGGCTGGCTTGATTTTAAAGCCAGCAACTGTAAGGAGTAACATGTTTTGCAGTACTGCTTTGTCTAGGTCTTGTGTCAGTGGGCTAGGTAGTTTTGTTGGTAATTTGTGATAAGTATTTTTGCAGTTGTTTGCTCTGGCTTGGTGTGTAATTAGCTGGTCTTTTGTTTGTATTTTTTCAGACATGTTGTTCACTGTTTGTCTGTCTAGGCTGGTCATCTAG